CATCTTTGGCTGCAAAGAATATAATCAATCTGATCTTGGTGTTGACCATCTGGTGATGTCCATGTGTAGAATCTTCTCTTGTGTTGTTGGAAGAGGGTGTTTGCTATGACCAGTGCATTCTCTTGGCCAAACTCTATTAGCCTTTGCACTGCTTCATTCCATACTCCAAGGCCGAATTTGCATGTTACTCCAGGTGTTTCCTGACTTCCTACTTTTGCATTCCAGTCCCCTATAATGAAAAGGACATCTCTTTGGGGTTTTAGTTTTGAAAGGTCTTGTAGGTCTTCATAGAACCATTCAACTTCAGCTTCTTCAGTGTTACTGGTTGGGGCATAGGCTTGGATTACCGTGATATTGAATGGTTTGCCTTGGAAACAAACAGAGATCATTCTGTCGTTTTTGAGATTGCATCTAAGGACGGCATTTCATTTTGTTGACTATGATGGCTACTCCATTTCTTCTAAGGGATTTCTGCCCACAGTAGTAGATATAATGGTCATCTGAGTAGAATTAACTAGATAATCAGTGTAAGTAAGGGTCAAAGTTGGAAAACTAAGAATCCTCTCTTGGACTTGAGAAAATATGGTCCCTCTCTAGTAACTGAGGGTGGGGAAATGAGGTTCATGAGCTGTTGGCAGCCGTGTTTCATGCCACGTGTAAGGACGTCAGCAGTAAGAAAAAGTGGGCAGCCAGAATGAAGAAAAGAGAAGAGCTGGAAAGAGCTCTGGTGACAGCTGGAATCTTGTTTCTAGACTATCCTGAATTGACCTGGTTCCTTCTCTTCATGGAGACAGCCATTCTTAAGTTTAACTGTGATCTGCAAATAATTCTTTTGATAAGTTCCTGCTTTTGGTTAAGCTAGTTTGAGTGTGTTATTTTCACTAAAAAGCAAGTGTCCCGATAAAGACTTTTATGTGCTCTTCCTCCCATTATGTATATTTACTTCAGTTATCACATTTTTCTTCTAACATTATTGCTGGAAATTTCCTAACCTTTCAGTAAGTGGGGACTTCAGGCCTTGCTATTTTCTGAGACAATTTACTTAGGATGGGCACGTGGACTATGTTTTGGAGGATAAGAGGGAATAATAAGGAGAAAAGGAAATCTACTAATCTTAATCAGTTTCTACTGCTCCTCAACATTTGAAGAGTTCTTAAATAAATATCTCTTGCTTACCCTAATTTTATACCAGGCAAAATAATAAAAATTTACACTATGCTTTTATCTTAGAGACAAGACAGGTTATTACTTCTATAGTATCTCCTCAACATTTGAAGAGCTCTTAAATAAATATCTCTTGCTTACCCTAATTTTATACTAGGCAAAATAGTAAAAAATCTATCTCAGAGACAAGACAGGTTATTACTTCTATAGTATCTCCTAGCCAGTTTCCTAGATTTTTCTCCTAACCTACCCATGAAAGTATCCCTTTGACACTGCCACCTCTGTTTTCTTGCACAAAAATATTCAGTGCTTTTCTCACTGCCCACCAGATCCAGTCCAAACTCCTTATTTTGGGATTTAAGGTTTTTCCCATCTTATTTTCACATAACTATTCCAGCCAATTCAGACAACGCTAACTAGAACCTGTGTTCTGACAAAACAGGTATTTTTCTCCCTGCCTGAATTTTCCCTATTCATATTTTCTGTTTTTGCCTAAGAAAGAGTTTTATCCATCTTTCAAGTCCCTGTTTAAATGCTAGTTCTTCCATTAAGCTTTCTCTCATCCTAGTATCCTTTGTAATTTAGAAATTTTATCTGCCTCCTATAAATTTCAATAGCAGTTGGAATTTTATATCAGTATTTTATTGAGCTTATCACTTATTACAGTTTATAGTTGTACTACAGAGCCATAACTACACTATTAGAATTTAAATTTATAGAGTAGAAAGTATATCTTATTCATCTTTGTCTTTACCAAAACATTTTGTAGTTATGTTATACACTGGTGATGTCTAATTAATTGTTAAATAAAAATATACTAATATTATTGCAAAATAGTTTTTAAAAATTAGAGAATAACAGAATGAGTTTTAGTTAAAAGTTCCTCTAATACAAAGACAGGAAAAATAGATTTTAAAAAGCAGAATTCTACCTGATACACATAGCAAAAGTAATACCAAATGTGAACTTACCAGCAGCTGCTTGTCCTGTAGTCCTGGAACATACTTCATAGGTACCATCTGGAACTACACCTGCACAAAAATCATCCCCAAAATAATCTTTAACAAAATTATGCTTGTGGTTAAATATTATACTGTAATTTTTCTTTCAAAGATCATTATCTAAATATAAATAGGATTACTAGTCTCCCTAGGTTTGAGTTTCTAATCTGGAGAAAGAAAAGGACTATCTTAGATGACTTGCAAAATCTACTTCATATCTCACAATATTTTATTCTTATTGATTTTAAGAACTAAACTGCATATACCTGAAATTAATAGATTATAAATCAACTATACTTCAATAAAGAAAAAAAATTAACTGTAGTTTTACCTTTGCATTCTGTGTGTGATTTCCTCATCTGCTGGCCAATACCTGGCCAACTCTGAAACTCCAATTTCTTGATGGTGTGACAATTTGTACCATCATGAGTAAATGGCACTTTGAGAATGCAAATACTTTAAAACTGATTTTTTGATAACTAAGAACTGCCACATGAGTTCACAGACATGATTCATCAGCCCTGTCTTTTACTTTGACAAGGACCTTTTTATGAGAATTAAAAAAAAAAAAGAAGACTTACTGCCATGATGTCAGTCTCATAAGATCAGTCTCCTGAGCTCATTGACTTATCCTCAGAATACATGTGACTTTAACTTTGAAGCATTTTCTACTACTTAGCTTTAATCAGATAACTTTAGCTTTTTTTTAGAGGTTAATTAAATCAAGTTTTAAAAGTAGAGACATACCATCCTTGAAACAACTTTTAAAGAAATAAAGCCTAAACTGTTTAATACACTCTCTCCAAAAACAGTATTTCTACAACTCACATTGCCTAATTCACCTTTAATGTCAGTTATAAAAAAGAGCAAAATAGAAAAAAAAACCTAAACAACCCTTGCAAATCTAAACGTGCTAGAATGAAAGCAAAATCCTTTGAAATTGGAGAAATATAACTAAGGCTAGTAAATTAAAAAAGAGTAGAAAACATTGAGGACTTCCAATCCAAAGAAGTGGTAGAGAATATTTAAAAGTTAAAAAAGAAAAGATTATACAAATTCATAGAATACAGAGCCATGGTGTATTAGTAAGGAATATTTAAATTCTTAGGATTAGATCTGAATCCTCAAAGTGAGACGCAGGAAACCAACTGGGCTCTTTCCCATTGCACTTGTCATCTGAGTTGGACCAACCAGAATCCAGGAAGGCAGTTTTCCTGCTGTGACAACCAAATGCTGTTACCCAGGTGTTAGCACAAAGACTAGAATTCTTCAAACTTCTAGTAGTTTAGCTTCTCTAAGTACGTGTTATTGAAAAGAGTCTAATCTTTATTTATTTAAATGGTCCATGGAACACTTCCTGCAGATCGTGCTTTCTAATTTTAACTGCATTTCCTCCAAATATCATTACTGAGAGAAGAAAATATAGTAGGTCACCTTTTTTCTAGGGCATGACTTTTAAATGATCTTTGAGAAAAAATCCTAACACACAATCCTACTTCTTATTTCTCTGCCCTAAACTCGACTCTTTAAAAAAAAAAATTATCAGTTACAAGTATACTTATTACTAATAAAAACTACAAAGTAGTAAACTACTTGGCAAATTTGCAATTTGGAATTCTTATTTATCAACAAAACAACTACTCTACTCACCTCCTTTGCCATCCTCCCAAGACACCCAACAATAAGCATGTTACAAATACAAGTCATTTGATAACCTCCAAAATTCAAAATAAATTATGATTTTCACAATTATTATAGCATGTTAGTGTTCTACTTTGTTGGTAATAATGTCCACTGAAGTGCTAAGTTGTTGTTTATATTAATATGTTTTTGATTTTGAGTCAGAGGTATATTTCTTATGCATTTTCCCTTTGTTTAAACTGTTAAGGAAACAGTATTCTTCCTTTGCTTCCAAATATATTTTATCCAATATGACTACAATGATGACAAAATATCACCTTAATAAAAATCAATAGGTTTAAATTTATTTTAAGGGGGAAAAAACCACACAAACAAAGGACAGTTAATGGTGACTTTTTAAAACATATATATAACAACCATGTAAAATGATTATTTGTAAAGGTCGCTAATGAAGGCTATTTTTGGTCTTTTGGGTATTAAGCATGAGTACTTTGATAGCAAGTCTTCTTAATAACCTGACATCCTAGTATTTTACCTATTACTTATCTAAATGCAAAGCATTCAAAACCAGGAATTTTGCCTAAAATTTTACCAAAATTAACTAACCAAAACTTTAATTTTTTGATGTGAAAACACTTGAAAGTCTTCCAAATACCTAAAGAAAACCCACAACTGGAGGAATTTTCTTCCAATGGAGAGAGGGGAAAATTGCTAAATAATAGCATATAATCTTCTGGAAAGTAAGTATTAATTTTGGTCTACAGATTAACTGAGGGATTTTAATTCACAGCCTTTAATTCTCAAATATAATTTTTCATTATAAGATTAATGATACTTTGATCAAATCTGCTATAATGTTTAAAATATTAAAATAAAAATAAACCCCTGTATCTTCAAAATAGCATATTAAACACAGCTTCAGTTATTCCCAACCTTGAGCATTATGGAATCAGAGGAATTTACCCAAATTATACTCTGCATACTACATATTTGGAAGTGTGGATTTACTTATGGCTCAAGTTCCTGGTTATCCTGTATTATGATATAGAATGAACTGGATCTTATACATGTATCACTTTCTTTCAAGATTCCCACAGAATAAAGATACTTCATTGTCAGGGGATGTTCAACTTTAAGGGATCCAATATCTTTTCTTCCTTTGTGTGCCATTTCTCAAGGACTCTCTGTTCCTTATCAGTTCCTGGAAAATAGGAATGAGCAGAGCTGCACGCAGTTCTTAGGACTGAGATCATGGGAAAGAGCACCTGCTTGGATTCCCTTCAGTGACTCTCTTCAGTGACCTTTTACTCAAAGGACTATCCATTTTGTTGCAACTAGTGGAATTTCATTCTTTTTAATGGCTGAGTAATCATTTTATTGAAGATATATAAGCATGTGTTTCTGCAAATAAAGTACCCTTGTTTCACTCGAGACTTGGGTCCCCTGCATCCTTCTTCTCGTCGACTCCAGTCCCCAGGTACCGGTCTACGAAGACCGTGACACTTTACCTGGTCATTCATAAATCAATTACAGGAAAAATCAGGGGGTGAGCAAATGCTACACCATCAATAAGAATATCAGGTTGGTTTATTTACCCAAACTACTGAAAGCTGCAGTTTTTCACAAATATGTTCTGGTATCTTTAATTAGAAACAGTCTTTATTTCACAAAGTCTAATAAAATTCTTATATATGAACATCCTTTAGTTTTACTAATGGAGACGGGATTATTTTTAATTTTTAAAAATTATAAAGCTCATACAGAAAATAAGAGACACTCACAGGCATTCATTACTAGGTCCCCACGAATTTCTGGTTTCCAGTCATCCCATGACGTCTCAAAGCCATCAGCAAAACGGATACAAAAGTTTTTGAAATGCCCTTTACTGACTAGAGATTCTGAAGAACAAGCAGTGATGAGAGTACTTTCAATGGTCAGTACTAAGGCAGAACCAGTGTCAAGGTCTCCAGTGTGATTAGACTGAAAAATACATTAATGAGACAAAAGGTGACAACTTTTAAAGTTTGGAAATCTAGGATTTAGAAGACCCAACATATAGAAAGAGTCAACCCTAGAGAGCTTTGTTAAAAAGCAGCTTAGAAAGATACTACTTTAAAACATTAAACTGCCCATGTGATATGCACTTGCCATTTATTTTTTTAAAAACTAAACATGTAAAAGGCTGATTATCTATTTTTTAAAATCTCAAGTCTCTGCTTTAGTTGTGGGGAACATCTTCATTTTGACAACCATCCCTGCTGTGTATAGCCTTCCCGAGCTCTGTCCAACATGCTGTATTATCATTTTTCAACTCCTGAAGCACAAACATAACACATACTGCCAATCCTCAACCCAGAATTTTCTTAACACTTTCCTGTCAGACAACAACTAGAAGGTAAATTCATTCAACAACTGGTTACAGGTTAAGGTAAATTATAACAATAAAACACAGTCCTCTGTATTTGTTATAATCGTAACTTCTTAGCATAATAAGGGTTCACAGATTTTTCTCTTTTACAAGTGAGCATGCAAATATGCATTCCCGACAACTGTTCTTAAACCACAAAGAGTATTTCTGCTTTATCTAGTACACATAACTTGAAAGTTTGTTACCATTAAATATTACAGTTTAAAAGACTTTGGAAATTCCCTACCTTGTTTTAGATGAATTTATTAAATATTATATTGTATTCTTAAATATGCCATGTTTCTATTTTATCAACAAGTATATGCCAAAGATGTCTTTGCTAAATATAAAGTAAAAATATTTTAAAACCAAGCTGCATATTTTCCAAGGTAAAAACTAAGATTTATTAGATGGGTGTCAATCTCATTATTGTTATGAGGCACATCAGAATGAGTCAGAGATAAGTCTCATGAGATCCACATTAAATACTCTGTGGATGAATAATGTTGGAAGGAGTTCAATTTTACTATTTATTAAACTCAAGTTATAAACTGTTATCCTGAAAATATTTATTATTATACTCTGTACACACAAAAAAATGGTTAGTAGAAATGTTTGGTTCTAAATCTTGGACTATGATTCTCTTTTTTATACCTGTGCAGTATTCGTGATAGGCAGGCAAATTCCCAGATCATTGACAGTGAGCTGCAGGAAGAGAGTCCCAAATGCCTGGGCTGACGTTTGCTGGATACCAGGCAGCATATCTACCACTTCCTTTGTAGCCATATGAATATCTTTATGTAAAGCCATTCGTTGTTCATTCCAGTTGTCATATGCAGCCTTATAATTCAGCCAAAACAGCACAGCTTTTGATAATTAAGACAGGGCAAAGGAAATATTAAAATCAAAGCTGTAAATCTACATGGCAAGTAAAACTGTTGATTAATAAAAATTAGCCCCAGAAAATTATAGCATTACAATTAGAAAGAATCTAAGAGGACATAGTCAACCAGACAAATGAAAAAAGCAGAAAGCAGGAAACTGCAAAATGGCAAAACACAGAAGATAATTCAGGTCTAGTCACTCATTTAATGAATTACTTGTGAAATGCCTACTATATGCTAAGCATTGGGACGGAATCACAAAGGAAAACAAATATGGTCCCTGACCATACAAAGCTTTCTGTTACAACTGTTAAAAATTCTTGAAGGGGTATGTAGTACAAAAGCATACATGTTAAAAGTGTGATTTAGAGAGAGGAGTAAAAAACATTTGAGTTTGTAATAAGAATGAAATCTTTAGGTAAATAAAACATCATTTAATGCTATATATAGAGGGGGAGTCTTAAGAGAAGATAAAGATGAAGAGGTCAGAGAAGCAGAAGGAAAAGCAAGAGTTATGGAATGGATACAAGAGTAGAAAGTACTTTTAAGGAACCACTGGAAGCTGACCAGAGGATGGTAAGATGAGAAATGGAAAAAAAAAGTGTACCAGATTTAGAAAAACAAAATGTTAGAGGTAGTTTTCTAACAAACTGATCTTATCAACAGCCAATGCCCATCACCAGTTTATTTTATGGTTTCATAAATGGTTCTTTATTACTTCTAAAATAACAATTACTATTTGCCCAAGAGACATTAATTAGATCCTATCATTTAGCCTTATTTCTCATCATTTTCCTTCATGAAAGTTGTTGCTATATTTTCTCGGGCCCCTGTGCTGATATATATTTATATATGTATATTCCTTTTCTTTTTCACTTGGCAATTATTTATTTAGTTCCTAACTACAGAGGTAAAATAGGACATTTCCTATCGCCCAAGTAAACTCCTAACTCCAAGTTGAACCTAAAAAATTAGTTTCTTCTCTGAGAAGCACAGAGAAAGAGAATTCCCTAATATATCAGAAGAAGAAAAAAGTATGTATGTATATATGTATATATGTGTGTATATATATATATATATATATATATATCTCAACTCTGCAGTCTACTTTGCTCTCTTTCCACTGAACTGAGAGCTCCTTGAGGGCATAGTTCCTGTTTTCTGTATCTGTATTCCACTTCTATAGTGAACAATAAATGTTTATAGAATAACTGAATAAAGACAGTGCCAAGAAGAATGGGTGCAATAGTTCCCCAAACCAAAAAACTTAGCATTAAAATTAAAATTCTGAATCAGACATTCCTATAGATTCATGTAAAAAGCAAGGAACTTTAAAAAGTAAAGTAACTTCAAAAACTGATGAGAATACACAAGAAACTGTTTTTGGATGCTCACATTTCAAATTTAAGAGACATTTACTGTCAAGCATTTACGCTGGTAAACTACGGATGACTTTCTCTAGTATTACCAAAACATTTCTAAATCTGACAATGTAGTATTGATAGATTTCATCTTACCTCTATCAAAGGCCACGGGCTGTGCATAAACAATTGGTCGATTCAAGGTAATAAGCACAGCTTCCCTATCTGAAGAACCACTGATTTCTTCTCGCAGGGCATTTCTTAATCCAATTCTAGTTTTAAAATAGGCAACTTGATGAAAATCAGAACCAGCTTCCTCATAAACCTAAGATAAAATGAAAAGCTCAACAAAATCAAATAATGGAAATGTTTTAAATGTTTTAATTTAAAAAATTAAAAGTTTTAACACCATTAATGGTGAAAGTCAAAGCCCTCAGTTGTGTCCAACTCTTTGCAACCCATGAACTATATAGTCCATGGAATTCTCCAGGCCAGAATACTGGAGTGGGTAGCCTTTCCCTTCTCCAGGGGATCTTCCCAACCCAGGGATCGAACTCGGGTCTCCCACATTGCAGGCGGATTCTTTACCAGCTGAGCCACAAGGGAAGCCCAAGAATACTGGAGTGGGTAGCCTATCCCTTCTCCAGGGGATCTTCCTGACCCAGGAATTGAACTGGGGTCTCCTGCATTGCAGGCGGACTCTTTAACAACTGAGCTTTCAGGGAAGCTGGTATTGTTCACCAAAAGAACTACAGTACACTTTTCTTCATTTCATTTGTTAACGATAGATTCCTGATACTCTATACCATAACATTTGAAATTAATATACAATATGAATGGGTATGTAAGAAATAAACAGAAGAGATACATAAAATTCATACAACAGCTAGGATTAGGTTCATATCTTCAATGGCAAGATAATTAGATCTCTCAAACTGTGCTTCTATTAGAAAAAATTAGTTTTTCTAGAGATGACATGAAAATTTTGTTCATTTATTCCCCAACATAATCTTTAATATAGCCATTCAGCTTTACAAGTGTGACTGGTATTCTTTTAATCAGTTCTTCAAAGAAAAGAAGGAAAATGATTAAAAATCTACCTAAGTTTTAGCAAAACAGAAATTCCCTCATGAGCTATGAAAGCTGTTTTTATAAAACAGAATCTGATTTACTACTTTATGTGTGTGTGTGTGTGTGTATGTTTAACATTATGGCATGCAAAATTTGCCATTATTCAAACAGGAGATTAGTCGCTCATTCATGTTTGACTCTTTGTGACCCCATGGTCTGTAGGCTGCCAGGCTCCTCTGTCCATGGGGATTTTCCAGGCAGGAATACTGGAGTGGGTTGCCATGCCCTCCTCCAGGGGATATTCCCAACCCCGGGATCGAACCCAGGTTTCCTACATTGCAGGCAGGTTCTTTACCATCTGAGCCACGAGGGAAGCCCAGTAACATCTTAAGGATTGACTAATGTTAATACAGGGGGCTTCCTAGGTGGCACTAGTGGTAAAGAACCTGCCTGGCAAATGCAGGTAATGCAGATTCAATCCCTGGGTTGGGAAGATCCCTGGAGAAGGGCACAGCAACCCACTCCGATATTCCTGTCTGGAGAATCCCATGGACAGAGGAGCCTGGTGGGCCACACTCCATAAGGTCACACAGAGTTGGACGTGATTGAAGCTACTTAGCATGCATGCCATGTTAATACAGGCTGTTAACAAAATCAAGAGAAATTATAAGTATTCATGAAGATACTAGATTAAATTTCACGTGATTGTATTTGCCAGAACAATATACTGCCAAAATACTCAAATGAAATGCCAGATAAAATTATAAGGGCCTTCTTTAATAAATTTTCATTAGAATTTACAATCAAATTTTCAGAACTTAAACTAAGTACTTTTTAAAGTATAATAATATTTAAAGTAGTTCAAAATGTTTTGCAGGGTTTAAAAGTCACAGTTTTAATATCAACATATTCAGCACTCACCTGATGTTTGACAATCTGTCCTAAAGCCAGATTTAAATCCACTTGGCATTTACCAAACAGTTTCAGATAGCTGCTGCTTCCTGGTGAAGCTTTGGTTTGAAGTCTGTTTGAAAGTTCCAGTTCAATCAACCCAGTTTCAAATCTTACAGCTCTCATTGAGGGAGTTGTGGCCGTTACCTGAATACCCTAGTAGTTTATATATGTTTGGAGGAAAAAAAGAATCTTAAATCAACAATATACACCCATTCAAATGAAATCTTTCAGTATGTGATAAGTAAAATATCATGTTCTAAAATATCTTGGATGCCTATTGAACTGATAAAACTGGCAACATCCTTTAATTTCTCAAGTCAGTAGGAACTTTTTTAGCTATTAAATTTCATTTCAGTATTTTATATTCAAAATACAGACTCTTCATAAGTTAAATACATTAATTACAAATAACTATTTGGTGTGAATAATTTTTATTTTTAAGAACACTAATATCTTAAATATTAGAAGCAATAAGATTTACATTAAGGTATTATTTTAATTGGACAAGGGTACAAAACATTTCTTACAGAGTAATTTATAATAGCAATAATTAGAAAAAAATCAAAATGTTCATTAGAAGGAAGTACTTAAATTGTTAGAACTGTATACTATATAGCACAGCAGTGTAAGAAGATAAAGTAGATCTAAATGTTCTGAAGTGGAGAGGTATTCAAAGGTTTTAAAAATGCAGAAATATATATATATATATATTTAAATACAAACAGGAAAAATCCTAGAGGGTATTCAATTGTTAAAGCTTCTTATATGAGTGAGTAGGATTATATTTAATACTTCAATTTTATTTTGTTTGGCATATTCATGTATCATATGAGTTTTCTATAAGCATACATTAAGTGGAAAAATACTTCTTAAGGAATCATTATTATATTATTACTTATGTTACCTTAAACTGCAAGTTCAAAGAATAAAGTAGAATTTTAGGCTTCTCTCCATCCGCTGTTCCATCATGTTCATTCCAAAGAGGAATAGGCTGCTCCCCGCCTAAAAGAGGTTAACTAATTAAATAATTGAAGGTCTGAGGCAATTTCTTCAAAAGGAATAGAGTAATTACGTTATGTGTTTAAACACCCATACAATATTCTCTTTTTACTGATCATTAACTGAATCTTTAACAGGGAACTCTAGCCATGCCACATTTCCCTTAGTAAGATATAAGGCAGGGACAGTACTACATATATAGAAAATTAAGAACTTTTTATATGGCCTAAATTAAAACATTGTACATATAAGTATACCAAACATGATTATACATCTCAGAAAATATATTTGAAGGAAAAAGTACAATGAAAAAATTTCTTCAATCAAAAATATGACCTTGGTTATTTATTTCTACATGTTCTATAAACAAAAAAGAATGAATGAAAAACTAAATGTGGAGCAATGAAAAATAAGATAACAGATTTTAATAACAAAGAGTGTGATAATAAAAGTTTGGCCTATACATTTTAAAAAAAATGGAGGTAGAAGACCCTGGGGATAAAGTTCCTATAATAAACCATTTGTTGCTTAGGCTATGTGGTATTTAGGAAAGAAAGTTCCAACATTCTGAAATCCAACCTCTACTTCCACTTCTCTTTGTCTTACTGTAAAAGCTTTTCCACATGTTTATCTTTCAAACATTCTATCTCAAAATGATTCCTCTTTTTCTATGTGTATTGAATTTAGCATCATCCCAGGGAGCAAATGTAAGCGAGATGTGAAGTTTCTTCCCAGTAGGTAATAAATTAATGTAATCCATCACATCAACAGGCTAAAGCATAAAAGTCACATGACCATATTAACAGATGCAGAAAAAGCATTTGACAAAATTCAAAACCTACTGATAAGACTTTCAGTAAACTAAAACTGAGCAGAACTTTCTCAATTTGATAGAGAATATCTACAAAAAAAATCTTCAGCTAAAACCATGCTTATTGGTGAAAAGCTTTCAGTTTTCCCACTATGATAACATACAAACCAAGCATAGCCCCTCTTACCAATCCTTTTCAACATCATACAAGAAGTCCCAGCTAATGCAATATGACAAGAAAAGGAAATAAAAGATATACAAATTGGGAAGGAAGAAATAAAACTGTCTTTGTTCACAAATGACTTGATCATCTATGTAGAAGCTCCTGGAACCAATAAGTGAGTATAGCAAGGTCACAGGATACAAAGTTTAATAATATATAAACATCAATCACTTTCCTATACAGCAGCAGTAAACAGTGGAATGTGAAATTTAAAACCCAATACCATTTACATTTCCACAAAAATTAAAATGCTTAGGTATTACTATAAATTAACAACATATATACAAGATGTACATGAGAAAAACTACAAAACTCTGATAAAAGATAGACATCAGTTCTTCTCAACTTGATCTCTAAATTCAATGCAATCCAAATCCAAATCCTACCAACTTATTTTGTGGATATCAACAAACTCATTCTAAGATATATGTGAAGAGACAAAATACCCAGAATACCCAATAAAATACTGAAATAGAAGGACTAACCAGAAAGCTGAATATGTTTTACATAGTTTCAAAAAATTTTAAAGACAAGCTCTGCCTCTTACAAAATGTATTACACAATCCTTTTAGTTTATAGAAATATCAGAGACACTATTAGTTACATTAACTCTACAGTTTTCTACCTTGTTATGAATTAAACATATACCTGATCTAATTGTAAAAATGGTAACCTTATTTCATATATATAAAAATATATTACTAATACATTACAAATACATTACACACATAGGGCTGTATATAATGAAAGATAGATCTCCTCTCTTTACTAGGTCAGTGCTTACCTACAGCTTTCTGAAACCCAGGCAGTCTATGTACAACTAAGATTGTAAGAACTGATTCTTCAAAAAAGAATTTTCCTAACAAACTTGATGATGGTTGTGAACATGAGTATGCCTATGCAACAGAAAATATCCTAAAGCTAAATGTAACATAAAGGGAAAGCACGAGGAAAAAGTTTTAAAAATAAATAAAGAAAATAATCGTGAGGATTATGGGAGAGTAGGGAAGCAATACAGATATTAGAATACTAAGAAATTGGGCTACAAGGATTCAAAGCATTCCCTCTCAATAATCTGTTACATTCTCTGGTTTTGATAAGGGAACATCTGTGTTCCATGAGGCCCTGGACCAGCTGGATGATATGTGACTTATGTTTCAGTTATTTTCCTAGGAGTCATGCTGTCTCTACGGTCAGGAACGAATGGTTCAGGGAGCAGATCTAGCCACTAAATGACGTTGGCATCATTTTCTGAGCTTTTTATTTTTCAGTGATTGGCAAGTCTTCATGGGTGGAACACTAATTTCCAGTTTTCTTTTCCAGTTCATTATTCATAGACCTACTTTTCTTATAAATCCTAGCAATGCAATTCAAAGGTTAAGAAAAGCCTTTTTCTTTCATCAAAACCACTTTAAGTATGGCTTACATACCATACTAATACCAGGAACTCTACACTTGTACTGTAAGAGATACAAGATTAGTTACTGGAAGGGTTTGTTTTTTTAATTATACATATTTAGCAGTAGCAGTCTTAAAAAAGTCTTAATTTGTATACACAATGTTCTAATGTGACTTTAACCAGGTAAATGGGCCACATCAAAACTTCTGTATATCTCCAAGAAGAGACACCTTCAGTGGCAGAAAGGGCTTCTGCTATATATTCATCCCTTCCTAAACAGTTTGTATTCAACCATTTTCAGAAAAATTCCAAGACTCCCAGTTGATTTAATTGTTCTACTTCACTTGTAAGTTTCTGTAGCTTCCTAACCTCAGACACAACCAGAACCAACCCAGGAGAACCAGGAAAATCTCTTGCACACACAGTTTTTATATATAATTCAATTTCCTAATCCATGTTCTGTCCTCCTTCAAAGCCTCATCAAATACTGGCCCATAAGCTCTGCCTTAATCTTCTCTTTCTTCTTTCTTGCCAAATGAGACTTCACTTGTGAAGTTTTGAATATGACATCCTCTGTGTGAAGCCTTTTCTGATTCCTTAGAATACGTTTGTTTTTCCTTTGACATAGACACAACACCCTCTTCTTGTCATTCAGAGAACTCATCACAATTATAATTGAATAGATACTTAATAAATTTGTAAAATGAATTAATTTATTCATCAACAATGGAGGAATCCCCTCTTGATGCCATTTTATTGGTGAGGCTTAACTATTATTTTAACACGATTATTTATATTCACTTTGGAAATATTCAGCCTCAAGAACTGTTATACAGTCAACTTGTTTTCCACCCTAATTCCTCTTAATACTCTATCTTGTGAATTTAAATCAAATAAACATTTTAAAATAAGACATATATTTCCTGTTAAAATGTAAAATGGGAATTAAGAAGGTTACTTGTAATCTACTCTTGAGAAACAGCAAAAATATAATAAAGGTTGCTATAGGCAATTTACCATGTAACCAGCATATAGTTACCATCTGATATAGAGTAAAATCAAATCTTAACACTGATCTAAATTCTGTCCACAATGATTAAGATTAGTTAATTAATAGACACACACTGTTTTTTTTTTTGGAAGGGAAGCATAAGGGAGCTTTGTGTAGTTTATAGTAAATAAATTGTAAATGTATATATTACACATAAAAAAAGTAATAAGCAGGAGCATCTGTAGGTGAGAAATCCATTAAAGGAATACAGAGTTGTTAGGGAGTTAACAATTTTATCTAAATGACAGAATCAATACTTATACCACTGGTACGTGGACCATCCTATAGCCAGTGAGAATGTTCTATATTGTAAGGGAGCAGATCATCTTACCAGAAACTTTTTGTATTACTTCATTAACTTCCTTCATGAATACTTTCTGTACAAATACCAGGTGATTTAGAAGATCAGTTGTAAGATTATGTTCAAAGGAACCAACCTGCCAAACAAAATCAGAATATTAGATTAACATATTGACTATATTAGTCTTAAATACATCTCACATAAGTCATCCCAAACTCTGAGGAAGAACAATTACTTACATGATACTTGAAATTAATATACTGAAGAAGGGTCAAAATATTCATATTCCTTAATACTCTACTGGCCTAACATTGTTAGATACCATTTGCCCTTTTTTTTAAAAAAAAAATAACAGTAGCCAATGAGGTAAGAGAAATCTTTTGAAAATGAATGAAAATTATACTTTAACCATGTAACTTGCTAATTTCAATACTGATTATGTGGAGTAATATTTATTTTTAATGACCACTGTTTTAGTGTTAGACCAATGGACCAGTATAAGTGAAAGTAAATGTTTTTACTCATTCAAATACTTATTGACCATCTACTCTGTGTATTGCATTAGATGCTAAGGATACAACTGTGAATAAAAACAACAAAATTATGGTTCTCATGAAACTTATATTAGCTTACATGAAGCTGAATTAGCAAATCAGATATACTAACCTCAGCTTTACTATTAATACATGTCCTATGATTAGTATAAAGAATTTCTGACAACAATTAACTAATAGATTAAATAGAAAGCAGGCCTTAATTGGATTTGAGTTTATTTACAATGAATCGGAGCATCTTTGAGTAAGGCAAATGCTTCAACATTTGTCACTTTGATAGTGTTCATATGTTGATGAAAAGTTAAGTGCAAAATACATGTAAGCAGTCTTAAATGAGAAGTCACATAAAGTCTAAGTTGCACTGGGTACTTTCATTGTGGATAGAGTAGAATCAAATGGGTAAAGATGATTTTCACATGTGTCTGTTTCAGGCCATAGTAAAATGGGGAACTCTCAGAAAGATGCAACTTTAGATTCTTTCAAATGCTTATAATTAACTGCATTCTCAGTATATTTAGGATGGTGTTCTGCCCCAATTATAAACTTGATATCTTTATAATAGCTAATATTGGTAAGGAATTATGCAATATAATGGACTGGATTTGCTTTATTTTCTGTCAAATGAAATATTAAGAATAGTATTGCTAAACTAGAGTTTGGGACACTTATTTTTCAGAAGTAGAAAGCACAAATGAAACAGGCTTTATAATCTACTTTTTAGTAAGTAAATATTAGACTTCTAGCATGTTGTACATGAGAGGTTCTAGGACAAGCAAAGTCTAAAGAAGGCAAACCAGACTTAACTATATCCTACAAGCTGTAATATTTCTATAAAGAAGACAAAGAGCATTCTTATAGATGCTTCAGATTCTAGAGAATAAAATTTATAAAACAAATAGTTGTCAAATTGATTTCTGAAAAGGTTGCAGTTTTTTCTAACAAAGTAAGCTGAGGGACAAGTATGCCTTTGATTCAAGCATCTCTCAATTTATAGCTGGGGGGCTTAGGGAAAGTCATTTAATCTCTTTAAGTTCAATTATCTACTGTAACAAATTAGGACAGTAACAAATGACNCGTAATTAGCCTCCAAATAATAAAAATAAATGAAAACAAACAAACAAAAAACCAAATATATTCCTGTAGGCAACCAGCAAAAAAAAAAAAATTAGTCTGTGAATGTGCTTATAATTATTTTCTCTCTCTGTGACCTTTATATTGTAAATAAGTATGTATACCTAGATGAATCATGTAATCACCCTAAAGGTTCAGTTTCTCTACTTATAAATGAGAATAAAATCTCTCTCTCAAAGGACTGATTTAAGAACTGTACAAGTCAGTGCACATGTAGCACCTGACAAATGTTAAATACTAGTAGCTTTATAATCAAAAGAATAATGAAATATGGCAGAGAGGCATGTGAAAACCAATTCAATAAATATGAATGCAAAGATGACTAAAACAAGAAAAAAATGTTTAACTAAAACTATAAGGAGAGAGACACCTGTACACACAAACACACTCCCACCAGACACAGTACAAAATTCTGTAGGAATAAATGATTTGATGATTTCTGTCAAAAATTTGGATCGCTACATATTTTGGTACGCCTAAAGGCTCCTAAATTACAAAGAATAAGACAATTTAAAAGTGAACTTACTTCTGCCACACAACGTAGATAATTTCCCTGTAAATAGTACCCTTGTTTAGAAGGCAGTTCATCTATACTCCACACTTGATCTGAGTAACTATCATGCTCTTCCATTATATATTTCCCTGACATAGTAACCGGAGGAAGGTTAAGACTGGCAGAAGGAGGAATGGTTGACATATCTGTGGCAGAAACTTTTGAAGTGAAACGCAATCTGTGGTTTGGCAGCTCAAATGTAAACCTGGTCTGTGCACCTGTAAGAAAAAAAGAGAACTTATTTTTGTTGTTCAGGTGCTCATTCACTCATTTCATTACTTACTATGTCCAATAAATGGTGCATATGAAAAAAAGTATGCATTTCCCAAAACCTATGTTTAAAGATATGAGAAGGATAATTTAAATTTGCTTACAAAATTTTCCTGTCTTTATATATATGGAGCCCCAATACTTTGGCCACCTGAAAAAAGCTGACTCACTGGAAAAGATCCTAATGCTGGGAAAGACTGAAGCAAAAGGAGAAGTGGGCAGCAGAGGATGAGATGGTTAGATAGCATCACCAACTCAATGGACACAAATCTGAGAAAACCCCGGGAAATAGTTAAGAACAGGGAAGCCTGGCCTGCTGCAGTCCATGGGGTCACAAAGAGTCAGACATGACTTAGTAACTGAATAACAATAAACGGTTACTATAAACAGTCAGCCAGTATTATTAAGCTGGCAAGTATCACTTACTAAGCCTAAAAAGTGTGCAGCACGGGTGCTAGAGAAACATTTAAAAATGATTTTTATTTCACAGAAGGTAGAAAAGAAACTGCCCTTATTACAAGAGTTAAAACAAGAGAAATTCACTAAGTGCAAAAACAAACAAAAAACCAGAAAACACTAATCCACACAATGTTTTCTTCACAGAGAACAGTTAGCAGTTGATACCTTGCCTCCTGGTCCCGACTTGGTATGAAAGGAAACAGTAAAACTGTCAATCAATTAAATTATATTCACTGAAAACATTCATCAAGTATAAAATATAATCACATGTATCTTTGACTTTAACAATAATTAATAATGGGAACATATTCCAAATAAGGATATGTATGAGTTGTAGTTTACTGCTGGTTCTAAACACTTAAATCAACAATTTGGCGTGTAGTTGTTTAATTATAAATATACAACCTGTACCATTTTTCAGGCTAAATTTCCCCAATTCCTTATGAGGGAATTAAAGAGTAGCAGAAACTTTATTAAAATCAAGATCTGTGGCCAGGAATAAATACATACACATACACACACTACATATTTATCTATATCTATAAACATGTGTGTGTGTATATATTTGTAAAAATAAATACCTATATTTATTCACAAATCCTTATTGACAAATTCAGACTTAAATTGAAGAAAGTAGGGGAAAACCAGGAGACCATTCAGGTATGACCTAAATCAAATCCCTTTCACACAGCTGAAGTGACAAATGGATTCAAGGGGTTAGATATGATGAACAGAGTGCCTGAAGACCTATGGACTGAGGTTTGTGACACTGTACAAGAGGCAGTGATCAAGACCATCCCTGATAATGAGTGATGTTGAGCATCTTTTCATGTGTTGGTGGGAATGCAAACTAGTACAGCCACTATGGAGAATGGTGTGGAGATTCCTTAAAAAACTGGAAATGGAACTGCCTTATGACCCAGCAATCCCACTTCTGGGCATACACACCGAGGAAAGCAGATCTGAAAGAGACACGTGCACCCCAGTGTTCATCGCAGCACTGTTTATAATAGCCAGGACATGGAAGCAACCTAGATGCCCATCAGCAGACGAATGGATAAGGAAGCTGTGGTACATATACACCATGGAATATTACTCAGCCATTAAAAAGAATTCATTTGAATCAGTTCTAATGAGATGGATGAAACTGGAGCCCATTATACAGAGCGAAGTAAGCCAGAAAGATAAAGACCATTACA